GAGAGAGAGAGAGAGAGAGAGAGAGAGAGAGAGAGAGAGAGAGAGAGAGAGAGAGAGATGCCCACGCAAATCAACTACATGATAAACTGAAGCAGAATTGATGAGACATTTAAGTTTTGGTAGTGATTTTAAATTATAGTCCCTTTTTTCTCTACTTCAAAATCTTTCCCTGTGCCCAACATACAATTTTATTATTACGGAAAATATATTCAATTATCCCAGACAGATGACAAAAGTATAGCTTATTCAAGGCACGCTGCCCCCACTCCAAATAAGTTTTCTTCGTGCATTTCTTCTCCGGCTATATTCTTAAATGTCCGACAGATTTGTAAAACGTGAAGAACCAACAGGTACTCCGTTTATAACTGGGTCAGCTGTGTGAAGGAGTATAGTTTCACATTTTATAACAAAAATATAAACAATACTGCAGAAACTCCAGTCTGGGAACTGAACGCAAGACACATTAAAAGAAAACCACAAAATTGAGTTCAGGAAAATCTTACCTGTAAAATCAAAGCAGCTAATCTAAAGACTGTCTCGCTTTCCACTTCAATATGCCCCTGTTTAAATAAAGAGGGAAGTATCAAGTTAACACGAGTGAACTCCGGAGGGGAGGGAAATCTCCCCTCGCCTCAAGCTACACGGAATCTCTTAGTAGTCTAACACTACTCAGCAACGCCGGCTTTCCTTCCATTTCCAGGTCGTACCATTACAGCAGAAAGGGGTGGGTGTAATTTGAGCCATAAAGTTTGGATAACTGCTTATAGTTTAATGTGGAAAACAGGAGAAATCATCCAGTAAGTAAAGAAGAATTTGGAGGCAGAAGGAAAACTGTCAACCAGATCTCTTGCAATCTTTGATGAATCATGACTTGCAAATGTTGCATATTTTGACCCTCCGGGTTTCCCAGGGTTGAATGGTTGCAATGACTGGAGGCTTTGCTAATACGCTTCAGTTTGTGGAGGGTGCCCGGAGTTATGCAAAGCACATACTCACAATAATCCTATGCCTATACACTAGGAAATATGTCCCATTGGGCTGATGAAATACAGTAAGAAAGAAGCACCATTCGTCTTTGGTGGGGAGATTGGTAATTTGAGCTGCTTGTTTAAATAAGTGTGTATATTTAATTTCTAAATGAAAACATAGCTGATTAAATTTATACATGTCCATCATCTTTATCCTTTGGGTTAAACAACGTTATGCAAAAAGCAGAAAAGGAGTATGAAATAAAACAAAGCAATAAGAAAAAGAATTGGTTCCGTTTTTGCCAACAACAGTTACCCTACCCTAATCTCTCTATTTTGAAACTGCAGGTCATCCTCCCATTATCAAATGCCAATTTAGTGACTGTTGGAAATTAGTGGTGGACATTTGTTTGTTTTGTTTTGAAACCAGCAGGCTTTTATGAGTTGTGGTAATGCGATTGCCATTCACGCACTTCACAATCAGCTCCAAGCAAACAGAACCAATGGAGAAGTTGGCATTGTAAATCATAATTTATGTATGATTTGTATGATAGTCTGTAACATGGATCACTCTGTTCTCAGCATCTCCCATACCCACCTTCTACTCATTTTTTTCTGTTGGGATAGATTTGTTTTCTAATAGTTTTCATACATGATTTTCTCTTCAATACTTTTCACTCTGTTTTTCCCAAGTTTTCTCAAATCTGATCCCTGTTATTGCCACAAAAATGGTCTTTCGTCATTCAGAATTTCTCATTGCCCTTATATCTTTCACTAATTATCTTGGACTTTCATCATCAATTGATTGGTATGATCAGTACAGAGCAGTGGAGAAATTCAATTTTTTTTACTACCAGTTCTGTGGTGGCAGGGGAAGGATACTGCAAAATCCCCATTCCCTCCCCACTCCTGGGGGAAGGATATTGCAAAATCTCCA